CTTGATATATCACTCAACTCTTTGAATGTATTTTCTCTTGGAAGAAATCTTGCTCAAGACTTAGCAAATTTTGTACAAACATTTTGCACCTATTTATACTAAACATTTTAGCATAAAATAATCAATATTTGATAATTAATTATTTTTAAATAAAATCAGATTTTATTTAAAAATTCATACCAAATATTGACTTTTAATAAATAATATGGAGTGGTTTATAACCACCATCAACTACCATTATTCTGTCTCTCAATTATTTGAATCTTTAATCATATTAAAGATAAAATAATAAAATAAGAATTCTTGAAAACATTTTTCAAGACTTTATTATTTTAATCTTTTCTTCCAATTTCCTTATTTAATAATCATATTATTATTTGGATTTGAAATTTAAAATCCAATTTTAAATTCCAACTATTAATTAGTAATTTCATTAATTACTAAATTAATATTCAAAATCCAATTAATCAATCCAATTGATTAATTTAATATATTCCTTTAATTGACATGTAATCAAATTAGATTTGTCAATCAATTCTAACTCTTTAGAATTACTATTTGAATTTTACCTTCATTCAAAAATTGGTGTGACCTTTTAGGTTCACAATTAATACTAGTAGTGGGTTTACAACTCTTTGTAATTTGAGTTATTCATATTAACTCTTATTCTTGAATTAACTCTTTAATTCAAGAGCTCACATATCATGGGAACATCTAGCAAGTAGAATGAATCTAGTATTAAGTGAATAGCGAGTAAACCTATTTCGATTACAATTCCATACATGTAAAATCCTTTCGACATCCATTCCCGATTAAATCTTTGAGTATGATTTTGTCGAAACCCAAATTGATTTAATAACTATGATTCTATTTCAAGTTTAGTAATTCGTTTATGAATCTCTATTCATCCCGCCTTGGCCAAGGACTTTGAATTACTAACTACGAAACACATAGGAAATTCACTTATCTTCATAAATGTCGAATCCTTTATTGGCCACTAACAAACTTCCATACATATTAACATAATACCCAAAATATCCCTTTATACGATTGTGCTAGCAACTAAAAGGATAAATCAAAGTAGAATGTAATATGCACAAAGTTACCATTGTGCCTCAAGTCTAAGGACCAATCATGTACTATTGTAACATGAAAATACTTATTCGACAAGACAAATCTTTCATAAAGTATTTTCATGCGGTCATGTTCAGTGAACTTATTCTCTAACAAGCACTCACATATATGTACTTGCGTCCCACGCTAATGTTGATGGAATGCAACATTCTTGTCCAACAAGCATACATACTATGTGCAATTCTTTTATGGATTATTCGATATCCCATCTCGAAACATCCATCGAATTGGAACTTTATTTAAGATCACTGCTTTCAAGGTATGTTCCATGATCACCATCTCTATTCGCAACCATACCTTATAACATATCTGATCTAGGGATTTTATCTTAAGTGCAATTATATGATAAATGCTTACTCTTAAGA